GAATGGGAATCACGACGTAGTGCGCCAAGTTTCAAGTCTCCGTCCCCCGACCTTCGCCGGTAGGTACCCATGTAGGTCTTTGATGTCTTGAATCGTGCTAAGTGTTCAACATTGTGTTTCGTTGGACCGTGAAGTGTCTTGTGTGTTCCTCGGAACTATCTTTGGTTTCCCCGTTGATAAGCATGCTAGTTCGGTGTCTAAATGCTAGCGTGTGTGTTATTTGTACCTTCTGATTGGTTGATGATAACTTGTGTTATTCATCGTTGTTGTTGTTGGACTGTGATCCATTCTTTGATTGAGTGTGTTTCATACATTCGTTGCAATCCGTTGATTGATTCCTGTTGAGGTGTGGTGTGTGTGGCTTTACCTGGATTGCACGATTAGTGGTATGGGACACTAGTCACCAAGGTATTGCAGCGGCCTCGTGGTGGCCGTGACGTGATTATGGAGTTGTGACCTGTGTATCAGGTTCACGCATTTTCTTGGGAAGGCGTGTGTCGCCATGTGTGTGAACGGTACCTTGTGTATTATGAAATTAGTGGTCTTGTTGGTGGGGGACGACAGTCCCAGGAGGGAAAAACTTGGACTAAGAAGTACAGGGGGTCCTGGAGGTAATGGTTGGAAAGAAGAAACAAGGTTGGGGGTAGCCATAAGGTTGGAACAGGGCATAAGGCAGGCATACCAACTCGTGATGGGTGATGTCACGAGGGCTATTGTAGCCGGTGTTGTGTGTTCTTCTCTTATGACGTGTGTAGTCACAAAGGCATATGTGGCCTTGGCATGTGTTGCCGGTTGTGTAAGTCTTATTCTTTTGCGTTGTACTTGTCGGGTTTTGATCTATTGAGTGATGATAGGTCACGCCTTGACTCTTTGGTGAGTCATGTTGTTCTTGTGGTCTTGGGATGTGTTCCCGTGTTGCTTGTGAGAGTGTTGAGTCTTATGTTGGCTTTGACTCTTGGTTTTACACTTGTATATATGTATTCCGTTTCGAAAATGGTTTTACAGCTTATACCTTACTTATGTATGTTATTTCACATGTATTGGTGGGTTACCAGCATTATTCGCTGACCGGGCGTCGTCCCATGTTTATCTTTGTGTTCTTACAGGTGATGTCTAGTCGAGCGCGATGTCTAGTGCCCGATAGTGTTGTACCTTTCCCTTATTGTACGGCCTGTGAGCCGATTTGGTTTTTAGACTTATGAGTTTTTGGATAGATGTAAACCATGCAGATTTGGCCGTAGCGTTTATCGTGTTGATAAGCGTGGCATAACACCCCCGTTTGGATTTTATGTTATCCAGTTATCCTTTTTACTTTTGATGGCATCAACGGTATCCCGACCAAGAATTAGTAGCCGTTATTCTCTTGATTTTTATGACAAACGAGATTATGTGAGACGAATTGTATATGACAATGATGAGGCATGATGAGGCATGCATTTCACTACTTAGGATGAATCCTTTTTCAAACTATGTGGAATGCTAGAAAGTATAGGAGGACTTAAACCAACAAAAAAAAATGCTTGTTGACGAACAAGTAGCAATATTTTTGCATATTCTTGCTCACCGTGTTAAAAACTGATTTATTAGACAAAATTTTAGAAGATCGAGTGAGAGCATTAGCCGAACTTTTCATAAGATTTTAAACGCACTTATTCATTTACAAGGTCACTTGTTTGCAAAATCCGAGCCTATCCAAAGTAACTCATCAGATAATCAGTGGAAGTAGTTTAAGGTATTTTAACCATTTTACAACTTTATGTAACTTAATATTGTATATATTTAGGTGTGTTTTTTTAGTTAAGTCCTTTGTCTTTGGATTATAGAATTGTTTGGGTGCACTAGATGGAACATTTATCAAGGTTTATGTACAAAAAGCTGATAAGCCTAGATTTCGAACCCGTAAAGGAGATATTGCAACAAATGTCGTAGGTGTGTGCACTCCTGACATGCAATTTGTGTATGTTCTTTCTAGTTGGGAAGGATCAGTATCTGATAGTCGAGTTCTTCGTGATGCAATTACTAGGGCACATGCGTTGAAAGTACCTTATGGTAAGTCTTGTCTAGAATTAAGATATGACATTTCATTGTCTTAATGATTAAGTCACTTATTAGTCTTTTTTTTTTTTTTTTTTTTTTTTATAATATAGATTGTTATTATCTAGTTGATGAGGGTTATGCAAATTCTGAAGGCTTTTTAGCACCTTTTAGGGGTCAATGGTATCACTTGAATGAATGGCATCAAGGTTATCAACCAAGTAGTCCCTTAGAATATTTTAATATGAAACATACTGCAGCCCGCAATGTGATTGAGAGGTGTTTTAGGTTATTAAAAATGAGATGGGTTATTTTTAGAAGTCCATCTTATTATCCTATAAGGACACATAACCGCATTATTATAGCATGTTGTTTACTTCATAACTTTGTTAGGCAATTTATGAGTGTTGATCCATGGGAGAATGATTTTGGTGAGTTTGTAGGAGTAAATGATCAACCTGGTGAAAATGATGAGAATATAATACATACGATTGAGCCCCGGATGCTTGGATGAATTGGCAAATGTAATTAGCAACAGAAATGTTCAATGAATGGCAAGCATCTAGGAAACATTAGGGTTAAGTCTCTCCATTGTTTTATTATGACTTCTAATATTTGTAGTAAAATGTTGTTTAATTTGGTATTGTGAACTCTTTGCTATGATGTAATGAGTGAATTTATTTATTATTTTGAACTCTTTGCTAAGATGTAATAAGTGGATTTATTAACTTTCATGTTTGTTATATATAAACTCTCCTCCAATTTTAATGTCTTTATTACAATTTTCCTATTGCAAAGAATTATGGCTAAGAGGGATTATTCCCAACCGTAGCGTAGCGTATACATGATTGGTATCGGGTCTATCCACCGAGTGGTGCTGTATCCGAGCATAACCGACCTCTTCGTGTGCTTACCTAACATAGATTTCTAACCGAATGTAATTATGTCTGGGTCGCGCACCCGACCTGTAATACTCAGAGCTTTATGCTTGGTTCCTTCAGTCGAGTATAATAACGGTAGATCCGAAGGAGTCAGGAATCTTAAGACACGTGGAGGGACCAACCAGGCCTCTAACCTCCCCCCCCCCCCCCCGCCTCATGCATGTGCTCTACGTGCCACGTATGCCAAATGAACAGCATGTGCTCCCGTACGCTTCCTATAAGTACCGCATTAAATGCGGGGGGGGGGGGGGGGGGGGAGGGGGGGGGACTTTTGGCACCTTTTACATACCTATCTTTAGCTCGGGATTCTCTGACCCACTGTCATGTAACCCGAGCTTAAGGACTTAAACAAACAAGCAGACTAGAGCAAGATCTTAGTACGATCCGACCCCCATACTTTACATATCTATAGGAATCATCGTATTTACTACATCAATGCTAACTAGTGATACAGGTAGTTCAAAAAGCAAGTCAGGGAAGCGGTGCCATGAAGAAAATGTTGCCTTAGTTTCTTGTATGGTTGACCTCCATAATTTAGGAACAAAGAATGTTGACACTGGATTCAAAGATGGGTATTTGTGAGCTGGAGAGGATGCTTAAAGCTAAATTACATATTTCGGACATAAAAACTAAACCTCATTTTGAGTCAAGGATAAGGACTTTGAAAAAAGACTGGAGCGTAGTACATAATCTTTTCACTAGTAATAACAATTGCTTTGGATGGGATGAAGAAAGAAAGATGGTCACGGTTGAAGACTATGTATGTGATTCTTATATAAGTGTAAGTATTTTTTTTCATTCTAATTATGTGAAAACTTTAATTAGTTTATACTTATACGAAACCATTATTTATTTAGAGTCACAAAGAAGCTGCTTAGTTCAAAATGAAAAGTTTTCCTTTCTATAATGAATTTAGTTCTATCTATGGAAAAGATCGTGCAACAGGAAGGGGTACACAAACTGGAGAAGATATTTATGAAGAAATGGCTAATGAGGAAGCTAATACATTGGTGGGATCAATCTAGCTAGTGGAGATGAAGATGTTGGGGATGAAGATATGCCAGATATAAATTTCATATTTACTCGAGCTCAATCTAGCTTCATTAGGTAATAAGCCACGAAGTGAAACAAACTCTGAATCATTGTCGGAGTGTTGAAAGAAGGAAGAGAAATATTAGTGATAGAGATGAACCAATTACTTCAGAATCATTTCACAATGCTGCAATGATGTTGAGTGAAACATTGGTAATGATTGGTGATAAACTAAGCAAGAACATTGGAATTGAATTAACTCTTGAAGAAAAAGTGAAACATTTAGATAAAGAGTTAATTTAGATTGATGGATTATCAAATGAAGAGTATTTGATAGTTTTGATCAAACTTCCTGATCATCTGAATCAGATGCTTGTGTTTTTTAATAAAGATAACTTATAACTTGTTTGGTAAAACTTATTTTAGAGCTTATAGCTTATTTTAATTAAGTTACAAATAAACTATAAGTATGCTCTGTTTGATAAAACATAGGGAGTTTAAAATAATAACTTATTTTGAAACGCTTTATTAATTTAGAAAAATGGCACCAACTACCATTCTTTTTTATCTTTATTAATTTAGAAAAATGACACCAACTACCATTCATTAATCAAAATTCTAATAAAAATGGTTCTATTACAATGTAGTATTTGTTCATATATACTTTCCCAATCTACTAAAACACAAAAAGCAAATAATATCTCCATTGAGATTCAAACTCACAACCTTCCAAATAAAAGTCCAACTCGTATACCATTAGACCACATAGCATTAGTCTTGATGTATTTAGCTTTTTAGTTATTTGTGCTAAACAGAACCATAATCTCTTATTCCAAAAAAGAAAAGTGGAGTAAAGATTGAGAGTGTTGTAGTAGAACTTTTTCCAACAGAATTCTCAGACTGATTTACGGACGATTTGATTAGTCCTCAGGAAAATAGGATGGGGCAGCGAAACACTGAAAGTGATACTCACTTTATTCCTCCAAGAAACTTCCAAATCTCGGAACATCCTCGGTTTGCGGTCCGTGATCATTCCAATTTCCACTCTTCTCCCTGTCACTTCTATATCGGACTTTGGAGCCATTTGATTTGATTATTTATCATTCTCATTTTAAGCAGCTCACCCCAGAATTCTTAAACACATAAAAGGGCTTTTCATGGCGCAGTCTGAAGTTCAATGCGGATTCTTGATGTTTGGTTCAGTTAATGGTGCGAGTTTCTTTGTTATCTTGTTTTTTTTTTTTTTTTTACAAATCATGGGTTCATGTTTTCGTAGAAAAATTAGGGTTCCTTTTCTGTTTTTTGCTTGTACATTTGCTTTCTTGGCTTTGTTAACTGTGTTATGGAGCCAATGTCTGCATTATTTGTTTGTTCTACGTTGTTGAATTTTTTGTGTTGGAATTTATTGAGCTTTTGTGTTGGTAGCTCCTTAATGAATTGCGTTTCGGATTTGCCCATACGGGATTTAAGTTGAAGTATCAGTAGAGTTGATTGAATTCTGGGATTCTGGGTTTTAGATTGAAATCTTGATCATGTGAAGTCGATTGGCACTCAATCACCATTGTTTGATTTCATAGCTCTCATAATTTTGATCTTTTTAGGAAAAAAAAAATAGTGTTTGTGATTTTATGCTACTGAAATTCATGTTGTTTTTTATTCCTTTATGTCCAAAGACCCTTTGTAGAGGTAATCCCTTTTCTTTGATCAACAATCAATTTGTTTGTGTTAGCAGGACGAGATTCGGATGACTGACCAAACTCTATGTTTGGCTTGGTCCTAATATCTCCTTAAGTATTCAAATGGCAATGTTACCACTATCATCTGTGCTACAATCATGCTACCTTGGCCGGGGAACTGCTGGGTCATCCAAGTCAGTTGCTTGTGCTCGCGGTTGCCATAGTGAAAGAGTAGTATGCGGTCTAAGGAATGTGGATGCAGTACAGAAACCGTTCTACTGGAATGGCGGAAATTTTACTCAAAAAATTTCTAGTACACCGTACGGTCTAATGGTGGTGGCAGCAACAGCAGCAGATACTTCTGTTATACAAACTGCTGGACAAGTGTCAAAATATCTCTTCAGAACCGAGACCACTGGCCTAGTGAAGGTGTCTGTTGATAAGAGGAATAGTAAGTATGGAGTACAAATTCAAGTTTTACCGTCAGAGCTTGATGGCAGACTCGGTGAGCTGGTTATGATATGGGGATTATTTAGGTCTGATTCCCAATCTCTTATGTCTTTGGATTCACAAGGTGTTGGGACAAGCAATAAGCAGAGTACTGTTGAAACAGTATTTCAATCTAAATCTTCTGGCAAGCTTGTTGAGTTGGATTTTGAACTAAGCTTAGCTCCCTTCTATCTTTCTTTCTTTCTGAAGTCTGAATTGGCTTCTGAAGTTAATAACTCAGAAATCAAAAGCCACAGGAAGACAAATTTTGTCGTACCAATTGGGTTTAGTTCTGGACATCCTGCTCCACTGGGCCTATCTTTTCTCTCAGATGGTTCTGTTAATTTTGCAGTTCTCTCACGCAGTTCCGAAAGTGTAGTCTTGTGTTTGTATGATGACATGAGAAAAGAAAAACCTGTTATAGAGCTTGATCTGGATCCTTATGTGAATCGATCAGGTGATATTTGGCATGCCTCAATAGATGGCTCTTTGCCGTTTGTGGGCTATGGTTACCGCTGCAAGGGGGCCACTGCTGAGAAGACAGAACATGTTCTGTTAGATCCATATGCAAAGATCATTGTGGATTATAATCCTCCCGGGGAAGGATTTAACTTAGTTCCAAGATGTCTTGGACAACTATGCAAGAAACCTGCATTTGATTGGAGCAATGATATCCGACCTAACATACCGATGGAGACACTAGTAGTTTATCATTTGAATGTTTGTAATTTCACAAAGGACAAGTCCAGCAAGTTACCTGCTCAGGTTGCAGGAACCTTCTCTGGTATTACTGAAAAATTGCAGCATTTCAAGGATATTGGTGTGAATGCAATCTTATTAGAGCCTATTTTCCCTTTTGATGAACAGAAAGGACCATATTTTCCTATGCATTTCTTTTCACCTGGGCACTTATGTGGGCCTCCTGGTGATCCTTCTTCCGTTATTAATTCTATGAAACAGATGGTCAAGGAAGTCCACGCCAATGGGATAGAGGTTTTTCTACAGGTTGTTTTCACCCACACAGCAGAGGGTGCATCGTTGTTGCATATTGATAAGTCTTCCTATTATTATCTTGAAGGTGATATGGGCATGAAATCTGGAAATTCATTAAATTGCAATTACCCTCCGGTCCAACAAATGATTTTGGACAGCCTCCGGCATTGGGTGGTGGAATATCATATTGATGGTTTTTGTTTTGTTAATGCTTCTTTCTTGACAAGAGGATTCCATGGCGAGTTCCTGACTCACCCTCCTTTAATTGAGGCAATTGCTTTTGATCCTTTACTTTCGAAGGTGAAGTTGATTGCAGATTTTTGGGATCCTGTTGAGAAGACGTCAAAGGAAATTATATTCCCTCATTGGAAGAGATGGGCAGAGATAAATTCAAAATTCTGTGATGATGTTAGGAACTTCTTGAGGGGTAATGGTTCTCTCAGCAAGCTAGCAACACGTCTTTGTGGAAGTGGTGATGTTTTCTCTGGTGGGCGAGGCCCTGCATTTTCTTTAAATTATATTGCCAGAAACTTTGGACTTCCCCTTGTAGATTTAGTCAGCTTTAGTAGCCGTGAAGTGGCTTCAGAATTAAGCTGGAACTGTGGGGAGGAAGGTCCTACAAACAAAAATGCTGTCCTAGAAAGACGACTTAAACAGATCCGTAATTTTCTCTTCATATTGTTCATTTCTCTTGGTGTTCCGGTTCTTAACATGGGAGATGAGTGTGGTCGGTCTTCAGGGGGCTCCCCTGCATATTGTGATCGGAAGCCTTTTGACTGGAATGCTTTAAGAACTGGTTTTGGTGTTCAGACAACGCAGTTTATTTCATTCTTGAGCAAGCTAAGAACGAGAAGAAGTGACCTTCTTCAGAAGGTAGATTTCTTGGATGAAGAAAACATCGAATGGCATGGAAGTGACCAATCTCCGCCTAGATGGGTTGACCCATCTAACAAATTTCTGGCAATGACTTTAAAAGCAGACACTGGCGAAATTGAATCAAGCACTGCCTCTGATCTACCCGGACACCTTTTTGCTGCCTTCAATAGTGCTGACCATTCAGAGAGCGTTGTCCTTCCCCCACTGCCGGCAGGCATGGCGTGGTATCGCCTGGTTGATACAGCCCTTCCTTTTCCAGGGTTTTTTAGCGAGAAGGGAACTCCGATTGAGGATGGATCAGCTACATATGAGATGAAGTCTCACAGCTGTATGCTCTTGGAAGCGAAACGCACAAATGGCTGAAACTCATCCATATGCTCTTGTATGAAAAAATTTCATTCCTCTACAATACTAGTGCTTAGTTAAGGTATGAAAGCCGCTGCGGAACTACTTAAAGTGCAAATTGCTTGTTAAACTCATGTAAGTGTCATTCCTCCTTGAATAAGAAGCTTTGCAGTTCAATCATAGAATATTCCCTCGCATTTCTTCATTAAAGCAGTCATTATGTCTACTTCATATCCATATGAGTGTTGCAAAAATCCCGCCTAGGCGCTAGGCACTGGCCGGCCGCCTAGTGTATCACCATAATAGGTGGTCTAGGCGGCTGGCTGGCCAGGCGGCCGACTAGGCCGCCTAGACCTCCTAGGCACCGACTAGGTCGCCTAGTCGGCCGATTAGCTGTTGTTCCATTCTTTTTTAAATGGGTTATTTCACTCAAAACGACATTGTTTTGAGCGAAATAATCCTAAATTGTTCAACTCTAGATGTTTTTTAGGTTAATATTTAATAGTTTAGTATTAACTATTAAAGTATTAAATAGTTTATAATTATCAAGTCTTAAAAAATTTAAACAAATTTTTAAAAGATAAAAAATAAAATAAAAATAACACGGGTGCCTAGGCGCCGATTAATCACTGCCTAGGTGCCCTAGGTGCTATGCGCCCCCTGAGCGCCCGAGGAGGGCCTAGCGATTTTTTCAACCATGAATTCCATATAGCACATGTATTGTTGATATTGCATATTGTAGCCATTTATTAAGCTCCCCATTGCACCTTGATTTCTTAACTTAGTCGAGAGAAGATGGTCGTGAGCAGTTTAGAATTTAGATTATAGTTCCCAATATGCTTTCTATCTAGCTAATAGTATTTCCACTGGGAGAAATAATTATTCTGAAACAAAGGAAAAAAAAAAAAAAAGATCTAAAGAGATTTTATTCTTCTAACAGGATGGAAATTTGAAACACAGATCAAGAAACACCGTTCAGTGTCACTGTTACAGTTGAGAAACTTTTCATCATTACTCTCTGTACTGATTAATAATTTTATTTTTTCTTCTGGTAAATCTGATTACATTTAGGTACGAAGTGGGCCAGGGGGACTGATGATAACGGGTAATATAGTGCCATCCTTTTCTTCTGTTTGTACATTTTTGCAAACTTCTGTTTCCTTGCATTTGCCCCACAGAAGAATATATAGGCCAATAACAACCAAAATGGATCCTAAAATGCTGTTTAGATGTTCAAAGAACATGTTTAGTAATTCCACATATAATAATTAAATAATGAGGATATATGCTTGTCTAGTTGTCTTTCTCTTTATTAGTCCAAAAGTTAGTGAAAATAGTTATCATACAATCTTGTCCTCCAATAGTGACAAAAGTAAATAAATAAATCCTACAATTGAAGGAAACAAAAAAAGAGGAAGTAAAAACCACCGTACCTTCCCAGGTGAATTTGTTCATGAAGTAAGAATACATCCAAGATAGCGGCAAAAATCTGAATGAAGGGACTAAACGCTGAGGTGAAGACGGGACCCTTCTGCTTTACACACCATGACATAATAACAAAGCATATTCCCGATCCCACTATGCCCTGTATCCATTCACCAGAAAACCATTCATGAGTTAACACCCCAGTTAAACTTTTTATCTATGTTTCTAAACTTGAGAGATGGTTGACATGAAGAAGAGATGCTTACAGTATATAAAATGGTCGAGATCTCTAATGCTCCTTTCAGTTTCCATATAGATGTTCTTCTCTCAATGATAAAACATAGGATAGCAGATTGAATAGCAGCTAGAAAGGACATAATAGTTGTGCTAGAATACTGATAGGGATACTCTCTCCCGACCCTATCCTGTATGTGATACCACGAAGACCATGCCAAGCTTCCTGCATATAGAAACAATGAGCCGATAACCCAATTCTTTACATCATGCTCTGCCTCAACATCTTTCGAAGTGGTTTTTGTCAATGGAGTTCCTTTGTAGAGCGTTAATACCAAAGCCCCACCAATACAAATTATTGTCCCCAATACTTTGGCTTTCCCACTCTTGCTGTTCATGTTAATTTTCTCCTTTCTGCAACAAATCTTTAGGTTTTAAGACAAGTTAACTGTTCCAGTATCAGAGCACTATGCTCGGGAATTGGAACTTACCTAAGTATGAGTGCCAAAATGAATGTGTTTATGGGTACAATGTTGATGAAAGCACAAGAGAACGTAGACGATGTATACTTGAGCCCGATTAGGAAGAGATATTGAGTGAGAGTCCCTCTACAGAAAATACACCTTCTATCAGAATATTCAACATAGATTTTTTTATTTTGGTCAGTCCATGAGGTGTCCTGAGCAGGCCCTAACTGTAAGAGGCACCTTTAAACCCGTACCATACTCAGACTAATCCCCATTGGCACTGGGCCGGCCCAATTAAGGGGCAAAGTGTTGGCCAGATTGGTTTTTCCATACGAGAGGGGGTTCGAACTTCGAACTCTCGACCTCTCTTAAGGAATAGATTGATGGTTCGGAATAAGGAATTAGAAGATAGAGTTCACACCCTGTCAGTGCACTGAAAAATAGAGTGCAGAAGGTGAGGGCTGTCAACTTTTTATTGCTTTTCCTGCAATCAATATGAACACATTTGTGTTATTGTTCTAGTCATTGAATTATATAGCAATGGCTATCTTCTCTAAAGGGCCGAGCCATACCTTTCCCTGCAACATGCAACGGGGGCCAAAAAAGTTGCCGCTGTTGACAGCCTGTATGTGGTAATAACCTGCTGATTCATTCCGCCATTGAGAACCTTCTTGAAAAGCAGGTTCACAACAGCCATAGCAAAGTTAACGCCAACCATCACAGCAATTGGCTTCCATTTTTGAAGGCAGCTCATCCTAGCAACCCGATCAAACTCTTTAACCGGTGCAGGTATGCAGCTCCCTTCTTGTTTCTAGTTTCTAGTTTCTGAAACCTGTGAAGCTGCATTAAAATGCACAAATGCTCCGGGAATATATACTAAATGTCCAGGAAGCAGCTCGAATATGATGTAATTCTAGGAAATCGCATTTGCAGCATTTTATGCTAATATCCCACATTTTTAAATTATTGTTCTCATTACTATTTTCTCATTTGCATATTCATATTCTATATGTCATCAGCTTATGACCTCAGAACGTGATCCTTGAGTTTCATTCCAGCATGGTCTATTTTTCCCTATTAAGTAAATCAAGTGCTTTTGGCTGTGAAAGAACAATTGTCAGCATTATTTTGTTTTCCGCACGAGAGTAAGTGCCTGCAAATGAAAATGCAAGCATATTTGAAAAAGCAGCGGTGCAAATAAGATTGATTAATCAACATCTTTCTGTAGGAATCTAATACCACTTTAAACAAGTCAATCACACCAGCTTTCTGTGTTTCTGTTTCTTTCCTTTTATATATAATATACATATATGTGGAAGTGGGAGAAGAACAATGTGTCTAATCTTTACAGGTTGAAGGAACTTGATTTGCAGATATTGGAAAACAATTGCCTCTGCACTCTTTGCCTTCCCAGTGTTCATCGTGAGATGTGCAAGGCAACACCACTGATATGCTTGAAGGAAAGCATGCGTCCAGATACTTGCTCTATCCCATTTTACCTGTTCTGTTTACTATTCACTGGTCAAACCAATTCTTTCTTCTTTGCTTATTTTCTTTAGTAAATTTTAATTATCTTTAAATTTAATTTTTTGTGATCAATAGTACTTTTAGGATCCGTTTGGAAAACAGTAAAATGACTTCTGGAAAATGTAGTTTTTAAATATATAAATTTTATATACTAATACTAAACTTAATATTATGAAAACTTGAACTAAAAATAACTTTAGTCAAGCCTCGTTAACCGAATCAGACACAAAATGGGACGGAGGGAGTAATATTTGGTTGAGTACATATTCATATCTCTATGTATGGTTCATGAGGATATAAACAGGTTAGTTGGCAATGAATAAGATAATAGGATTTGTTGTTGTATGCAAATATATGTTACTCTTGAAATACAATTGGACTGTGATGTGGAAAGTGAGGGAATTAGATGTGCCTAACCATGCCTTAATAAAATAGCAAGATTGGGCATGGGAGTGGCAACAATGGTTAAGATTATTGCTGCTCACAAGCCTTTGCTGCTGCAGTATGATTGGATAATACAGTGAATGATGAATTACATTTCAGTTTGTGAACGAATAATAATATTTCTTTAGACAGGCAGTTGTATCTGGAGATATTTTTTTATTAATATCATTTTTACTCCAATGAATGTTGTCATATTTTTATTGTCTTTGGCTCTTACAATTTTACGTTTCTGGGTGAAAATAATTGAATGTTACTTCGTACTTCCTATTTCTTATATTTTTCCTAAATTACACTCAAATTTAATGATTTAGTTGCTAGAAATGCAAGAATGTAGACAATTAGCCTCAATAATATTGATGAAAAATTTTAATAAAAATCAGGTAATACAAGCATGTTTTACTCTATATGTTTTTTTTTTTTTTTTTTTTTTTTTTTTTTTTTTTTTTTTAATTTACATGGTACCGCAAGTACTCCTTATTTCGGAAACTTTAAGTTTTGGGTTGATCCATATAGACTTCTTTCTCTAAGTTACTATTAAGAAAATTAGTTTATGCTCCAACAATTCTTGAATCTTTAAATATATGAAAGAATGACTCATTATAGTTAATATTACTCATCTCTGCATAATGATTTTAAGGAGTTAATGCCATCCAAGGTCCCTTGACTTTGGTGGTTTTGCCATCTATCGTCCTTAACTTTAATATGTCTCAGTGCAGTCATCCGACTTTGTAATTTTGACCACCAGCGGTAATCCCGTTAGTATCTCACGTTTGCACCGTTAATTCTAGAGGTAAAATGATAATTTCTCGTTGTTTATTGATTTTTAAAGTTAGAAATACATATTTAAAGTAGTTCTTTGGGCTGTAATTAGGGGTGGGCATCGGTTCAGGTGACACCTAAATTTTATTTCGAATATTCAAAAATTCGGAATGATGTTTTTGACCCCCGATATCCGAATCAAATTTAATTTGGATATATTCGATTCGAGTGAAATTATTTCGGGTTAGTTTGGATATACCTAAAATTTTATTTTTATCAATTTTGAATTTTATAACGGTTTTATTATTTTTGTATTTATTATATTTTTCATATAATATTCGGATATACTAAATTTTAAAATATCCGAACCAATAATTATTCGGATTCATTCGAAATATATCAAATTCAGTTCGAGTTTCGGCTGGTAGTTCGGTTAATCCAAATTACGCCCAACCCTAGATGCAATAGATTGAGAAAGTATACCTGAACAACACAAATTCAGACAAGTTAACTCAAAATGACTTGTTTACCTGGTATGGCGGTTGTCGAATTTAAAAATTATTTTTAAAAAGAATTTTAAATAAAATAAATATTTAAAATTAAAAATAATAAAATAATAAAAACAAGAACACCCACCGGAGACGAAGTCTCCGGAGCTTCGTCTCCGGAGGGTCCCTTCGTCTCCGGGCCGGGGGACGAAGAGGTTTGTCTCTGGCCATGGAGACCAAGGGACCTTCGTCTCCATGGCCGGAGACGAACCTCTTCATCTCCGGCCAGGAGACGAAGGGACCCTGTCGGAAACGAAGACTTCTTCTCCAGCGGGTGTTTTTTTTTTTTTTTTTTTTTTTTTCTAAATATTATTTAATAATTATTAAATATTTATTTTATCTTTTAAAAGTCAATAAACAATAAGAAATTACAATTTTAAATATTATTTAATTTATTAAATATTTATTTTATCTTTTAAAAGTCAATAAACAACAAGAAATTACCATTTTAATTTTACCCTAAAATTAACAGTGCAAACGTGAGATACTAACAAGAAGATCACTGAAGGTCAAAATTATGAAATTGGATGACTACGTTGAGACATATTAAAGTTAAGGACGATAGATGGCAAAACTACCAAAGTTGAGGGACTTTGACTGGCATTAACTCTTTTTTTTAAGTGACAAGATTTACCTTTGTACCTTATGTTGTCTTTTAAGTTGTGTTTGGTCTTTTAATCTTCTGCGTCCATAATGAAAAGAGTAAAGAACAATTACTCATCATACTTTTAATCTTGTCCAAAGAGTATGATTCTACTATAAAATTATACATTTTGTTGTCGTGTACGTATCAGGCATTGTATGCATACTATGCAAAAATGTCTCAAACATCTAAGTGTTTCTTTTGGCTACTTTGTGTTTGGTTTGCTTTCCCATTTAACTTTTTTTACACTAAAACCCAAATGAGGAAAAATGTTTCGTGCCACCTAAGCTACTTTTTTCCTCGCAATAGCTAAGTCAACTTCAATCAACCCTCAAAAGTGGTGCTAAGTAAGAGATGAGATGACTAAAAAAGTAAGGCAATATCTCGTAAAGAAACTTAAGCAAAGCTTTATAAGGAACTTGGATTATTTGAACTTATGGATGGTTATAAATGAGGCCCCTTGTGAGTATTTATACGCATTCCACCTCATCAATGGATGGTGGAGATTATCTTAATCCTATGGTTAGGATTTAGTCTCTACAATCCTCCTAAAATCTCTATACAAGCTTGGGGATTTTTTAAGGTTCTAGAATGTTCTAGATATCTCTACAACCTTTTTGTTCCTATGTGCATGTCTCTAGACTATTCTACAAACTATGAGATGCCATGTACAAATGTTAGAAAATTTTAGGACGATGTAGCAAACCTCAGAATGTCGTCGAAAAGCTATACGAGCGCTACAAAAAGCTCACTCGTTTTCCGACGTTTTTTTTTTTTTTTTTTTTTTTTTTTGGTATATATGACATGTTAGTGTTAAAAAGTTTTAAATAGTTAAAGCCTAATTTGTAATTGGCCTATTAGTATAACAAGTTTTAGTTGAGTATGTAAAGTCCATAGGTGATCTGTACATACTACACTATACCTAGGACCGGTTCTGAGCATATCTAACATGAGCGACCTCACAGGGCCCCCCAATTTTTGGGGGCCCCATATTTTAAAATAAAACTATAGGTATATATAGTAATAATAATATTTATTTTATAAAAAAAGAAAATTGAGCCCAAATTGCTTTAAAAACCTAATATATATATATATATATATATATATATATATATATATAAAAGGACAATTAGGTCAAACTATAAGGACATTACTAAAATTGCAATTCGGCAATTAAATTTCCTAATCCGAAATCTCAATTAACAAATTCTCAAATCTGAATTAGGCAATAGCATGTTCAGAGTATAAGGAATTAAAGACATTTTATACTCCTTGTGGTAAATCGTAGAGTATCTCAAGGTGTACAAAAAAGACTCTTAGATGTAAATCGTAGAGCATTTTATACTCCTTGTGGTAGTCATAGTCTTAACTTGACTTTATGTGACGTTGCAAACAGTTGTGAGAAAGCAAGAGATTTCTTTGGAGTAGTGCAACGTATTTACACAATATTTGCTAATTCCACAAAGAGGTGGCATATCTTGAAAAGTAATGTAATAAATCTAACTCTTAAGCCATTGTCATCTACTCGAAGGGAAAGTCGCGTGGAAAGTGTCAAAGCAATTAGATATCAAGTCAGTGATATTCGAGAAGCCCTACTTCAAGTGGCAGATACAGACAGCGATTCTAAAATTCAAAGTGAGGCAAGATCTTTAACTACAAATGAGCTTAGTAACTTTGAATTTTTGCCAGCGACAGTCATTTGGTTTGAAATCTTATATGCGGTTAATTTAGTTAGCAAACAATTACAAACAAAAGATATGTTTCTTGATATTGCTATTAATTAAATTAAAGGGTTAGTTTCTTTCTTCAAGAATTATAGAGAAAATGGTTTTTCTAGTGCCATGGATAGTGCAAAGGAAATTGCCAATGAATTAGAAATTGAGCCAGTGTTTCCTCAAAAGCGAAAAATTCGTAAAAAAAGACAATTTGATGAGAGTGTATCATCCGGAGAATCTTTTAGGGTTCATTATTTTTTATACATTGTAGATCAAGCTATTATTTCATTGACCCAGAGGTTTGAGCAATATGAAGTATATGAAGGAACTTTTGTTTTTTTTTTTTTTTTTTGTTTAGTTCTGACAAGTTACAATCGATGACTGATATCAATTTGAAGTCTTGTTGCACTTATTTAGAAGCAGCTCTTAAGAGAGATTATCAGTGTGGTGATATTGATGGAAATGAATTGTATTTGGAGCTAAAATTGCTTAGAGAGATTTTATCAAAAGAAAACATAGGTGCACTGAGTATATTGAATTCATTGAAACAGATGGGTTGTTTTCCAAATGCTACTATCATATCGAATATTATTGACTATCTCAATTACTGTTGCCTCTGCAGAAAGGAGTTTTTCGAAGTTGAAATTGTTGAAATTTTACTTACGATCAAGTATGTTGCAAGAGAGACTCAACGGATTAGCTT